AAAAAAAACTGTATTAACTAATTTTTGCTCTTTTTCTTTCTTTCTTTTTCCTCTCTTTTTTCGTTATTTCGGTATTTATTTTTTTCTTTTACAAAATTAAACAAAAAATTATTATAATTGTTGTGAATTGAACTTGGTTGTATTAAAAACAAAAAAAAATAACCAAAAAAAAAAAAAAATTAAATAAACAAAAATTGAAACATCGACACCGTATTTAAAAAAAAAAAATTTTTTTTTTTATATAACAACAACAATTGTGTATTGAATTGCGTTTTAATTTGGTTTCTTTTTCTTTGTGCTCGCATCCGTAAAAAATGAAACGAAAACAAAAATAAACAACAACAACATTAAAAAAAAAAAAAACAAAATTAATAAATAAAAACATACGAACATACGAAACACAAAACTGAACACATAGTTACTGGACACCCTCCCGGTGTGCCAAGATTTTAATAGATCTATGTGCAGTCGGTTAAATTGTAGATTCGTTCATTTGACTGAAGGTAAGTGCATGTGGCTACTGATTTCATTTATTTTCTTTTCAAGTATTCTTTTCCCCAATTTAGTTTAGTTTCATTTTTAGTGACTGCCTATCTTTAGGATACGCTTCAAGAAATTTGTTTTTCAGTTGTAAGCTTCGATTTTTTTTTTTTTTTTTTTTTTTTTTTGTTTTCCTAGTTTTACATAGAGTTCTGTACCGCTTTAAAAGAGAACAAAGCACGAGAAAATCTATAAAACATTATAATAGATATTGGCGAGCGGATCTCTTAGCCAGCCTATACACAGACACATTCAATGAATAAAAAATTTTATTTTTCAAATTGAAAATTTTTCAAAATTTCTGTTTGGAAAGTGTAAAAGATTTTAAAATATTAAAAGTGAAAAAAAAAAAAAAAAATGTACAAAAAATAACAGGAGAGTTTGTTTGAAAAAGAAAGTAATCAAAACTCTCAGATCCCTAACGAAGTGATTTTTTTTCCTTAGCACTTTGTTTTTTATATTCTCTTCTTCAGAAATGAATAAATTGGATTTTATTTGAATTTCTTTAAAAGTTTTTTATATAGACATTAATTATATATAAGAGCTATCAGAGAATAAACCTATACATATATATATATATATACATATGTAGGGTTTTTCATGAGAGGCTTTCCTTACCCAACTTTTTTTTCGGCAATCAATCGGTTTTCTCGTTCATTGTTTGTCGTATTGCATGGGTCAGGTAGTGGGTGGTATCTTGACTCCACCCCATGTGGCCGGTGGTATGACCTCCACATCAAAAAGCAAATTCCTCTTGGTTACCTGGACTAAATGTGACAAACTGATCTATTAACGAAACTATTGGGTCAAACATATCGATCTTATTCCTCAAAAATATGAGCGCATGCGCAAAATGCCGATCAAGTCAATCGAAAGGCCTTTTCAATCTTAAACAAGCATGGGAGCGAAAAAATTATGAAAAACCCTATAAACAATTATTTGTAGGAAAATATTTAAATATAAAATAATATTAATTCGCTATCTTGTCTGTCTTTCTTTTTCTTTCTCTCTCACGTCTTCTATGCATCTTTCTTCTCTTTTCTTCTTTTGTGTTTTCGATTGCTTTTGTTTTCCCCTTACGATCTAATTGTTTCCGATACTTTACATTACCTGGTGAAGATGATAAAGTTGAAGTATGTGATCAACGTGTGGCTGTGTGTCGCGACCATGCTAATGGTCAGTGCAGACGTAAACAATGTAAATATTATCATATACCAATCGTTCTGCCGCCCGCGAACGTTATGGCAGCGCTAATCAATAGTAACACCAGCGGCATCAGCAATAATAACATTAACAATAATCTAAATCAAGAACAACAACAACAACAACAAAATAATAATAATTATAAGCAACAACAACAACAACAACAACAAAAGCTAGCAGGGTCAACAATTGCCACCACAAACTATAATAATAACTTGATTATTATAGAACCACAACATCAGCATCCAGCTCAGCAATCACAGCAACAGATCCACAATTTCGATGCTGAAACCACTATAGCTGGAGGCTACGGCACCTTAACTAACAAAATAGCTTTAACAACAGCATCGTCTAAAATTTACAATACTGCGCCACCACCACCACCACCAGCGGCAGCGGTGGCCTATCATCCTGTGCACTATACAACTGCTGGTACACCGTATCATCATCCTCATCATCAACTGCAACATCAGCACCATCATTATCATATAACTCCACCATATTCACCGTCAGCTGCATCCACTACTTCATCGAACTCATCAGCCTGTCCCAAGCCAACATCACCCATATTATCTTCGACAACTACGCTTCCAACGAATTCGACAGCTACAAAGCCCACCCCTATAGCAGCGACGCACTATGTGCCCACCACCACATTTCTAAAAGCTTCGCCTGCCATGACCATTGCAATTGCCACTCAGGCACCACTTTTATTAGGCAACACTAACACGAACAGCGAGTACGGCTCTAATTGCATTCCGATTATAACAACACCGCCTGCATTGACACCACTAACGCCGGTAACTCAGCATCCAGCTTTTATGTATCCGGCAACACCGCAAACGCAGCATTAAACAACCAAAAAAAAAAAAAAAAATAAAACCAAAACAAAATAAAAAAAAAAAAAAAAAAAAAAAAAAGCTGAATATTTTAACTTGTGTTTTTTTTGTTATTTATTTTTTTTTTTTTTTTTATACCTACTCAAATGAGGGGTTTACTTGATTTGTTCTTCTGTTTGTAACATTTATAAAAAAAAAAATAAAAAAAACAATTAGAAACTCTACAAAAATTATACTTGATCAGCTTAATATACTCTGAATTGACTTAATCGTGTCGGTCTGGTCGTCCGTCTCTCCGTCTGTCTATCCCTCTATTTATTGCCAGCTATTTTAACCAAAGTGGGCGGCAAAGCAAATGAAAATTGGTTTACGCTCTCGGTGTGCATGAATATTGTGGTCTCAAAGCCTGCACTAAAATTGCAGTAAAAAAAAAAAACGAGCCAAATATATCCTGGGGCCATGAAATAGACACGCCCTTAGTGAACAAACTATTTTGCAAACTATAAGAAACTATTTGAGGTGATAGGTATTTAGGACTATTGTTAAGGCCAATGTAATTTTTGTTCTTCTTCATATTTGTATTATTTTAATTTATTTATATATTTATTTATTCGTAATAAAGTTTATATAATTAAATTGAATTTTAATATATCTAAACAAACAAAAAAAAAAAAAAAACAACTCACGTAACAAGTCACGTAAAAACATTAGAATTTATAATTCATTTTTAAGCTACGAGATAAAACACAATAGGTAACGTGCGTGTGTTAGTGAATTTACTTCTCCCATCATCAAAGTTTGTTTTTAAATAGCAAACCAAAATTATATTCACCTTTGGGCGCAATTTCTATATATTTACCATGCGAGTTAAACTCATGAGGATCCCATCAATTTTTTCCATTTAAAGGTGTATACTATGGAAAGTTTTGCTAGGCGGGGTGCGCGAACGGATTCTATTCGATCCCGCCAACTAAGCTGAATTTTTCTACAATTACGAATTCCAAAATTTCGTCCAGGCTAGACATGGCCAGGAAAATGTAAATTTTATTCCGTAATCGATACTTACGTCCTTGCAATTGTGATAGCAAGTGTTAGAAACGTAGAAAAAGATGGATAGCTAGAGAGATTACATATATACCGTAGATCCCATCCCACTATTGCACATATTTAAAGCAGCTTTTCACATTTCACATCCGTGACCCCGAAGCTTCACCTTCAATCTGTGATTCATTTCGGGTAAATTTTAGATCGAAAATCTATTTTTAAATCGGCTGCACCTAGAGTCTGCTGTAATATCCGGACAAGAATTTATTATTCTTGAAAGAAGGAACTATAAATTTATTGTATATGTGAGTTTAGAAAGGATCCATTGTTGCACGCACTATGTTGCTAAAATAATAACAAATGAATATTAGAAAGCAGTTATAGAAAAAATTTGAATAAAGAAAATCTCTCCTCGTTCGCATACAATGGTATGTAGTTAACCTTAAGGATTGCAATGATGGCAAGAAAATCAACACTTGCATTCACCTTCACGCCCCGAAGATCCCATAAGGGATCCGTAATGTTTGAGTACATTTTTCCTAAGTTCAGAGAAATTTTGCTCACAAATTGAGTGGTAGCACGCACAAGACGCTTCTATATAATTAAATAATGGAGAAAAAGGCGAGATCTTTAATATATTTTTACTAATAAGATGCGACATAACGCAGACATCGACTTGAAATTTAATTTGACCATGAAGATCGAATTGTAAGAGTTGCCATCCAACTGTAATACAATCAGATATGAAATACTTATGACCAAGGAAGCAGGATACGGGAGATTGGTGACTACTGTGCAACACTCGGAAATATATATAAAAATAAAATCTTGAATAGGGTAAGTAATTTCATCCTTTTCATTCGTTCTTAGAATTTTCATAGTTGAATGAATTAGGATTTCTAGTTTTTGATCAAATATCAGATTTAAAAATTGTCGCAACTCGTGACTCAAGGTCATATTAACAGCCAGAAAAGGCTGGAAGAACAATTTCATTAATTCTGCCGACAAGTTTTCGCGTATTTTTTAACAGCTAGCAATTGAGAATCTCACATAAATATGCGCGATAAGGCCTCCAGAAAATTCTATATGTGGTCATGCGACCAGAGTTATTTGAAGAAACTTTCCCTTTAAAGCGGATATCAATTTTCCATTTCTTACTCACATATCAATTAAAAATGGCAATGCCTCACATAAAACTATCCATGTTGCCATTTACGATAAATGTATGTATATGTGCAATCGATATAATTCTTATAAACTTTTTTTATCTATCACTGTTTTTGATTTGAAGAAATGTTTCTGCAAATTTTCACTAATTTATCATAATTGCTCAAAAAAGCAAAAAAATGAATAATAAATAAATAAAAATCTTTTTTACGCCCAAAAAGTCAAGCAAGCATATGAGAAGATATAATTTTATAGAGTTTCGAAATTCAAATTAATTTTCAAATTATTTTGCCTTCCTTTCGCCTTCATCACTTCCTTTTCATCACTACTTCCTTACCTTTTCCTTTGGGGAAAAATCATTTCCTTTAAAAAAAACGCTGGGAAACTGCGATAAAAGTTCTTTGGTTTACGAAATTCACTAAGAAAACTAGTTAAGTAAAAGTAAATAAAAAAAGAGAGAAAACAAAACAATAAAAAATTATATTTTAATAAAGTTTAGTTTAAAATAAAAAAAAAAAAAAAAGAAAATAATAAGAAAAACAGTAAGTATATAAATGAAATAATTTTATTATTAAAATACGAACAAAAATAAAATAAATAAATAAACGCGTTTATATTTCCGATAACGATAATTATTGAAAATTAAAGGTTGATTAAATATATATACAGCAACAAAAACAACAATATACAACAGAAAAAAAAGAACAAAAAAAACCAAATACAGTAAAAAAGGAAAACAAAAAAAAAATTAATAAGAACTTTAGCAAGACTTAAAAATATATACAAAAATATAAATAAATAATATTTGAAAAATTACTAAAATGTTTTAAGAAAAAGAAAAATCAAAATTCAGAAAAAAGTCGCGCACATTCTACGCAGATATGAATAAAAACCAAAAAAAAAAACTCTCTTTTTTTTTAAACAACTGCGCGCTGAAGACTAGGAAAAATGTAAGGAGAATAAATATGTAAATAAATAAATAAATAAATAAACACAAAATAAAAAACACATTATTTAAATAATTTGCTTAGAGAATATTCTGGACGAAAGAAAAAGAAAAAATTTAGATTTAAAAGAAAAGAAAAACAACACATTTTTAAAACACTAGTGTTCCATATTTCAAACTAAAAACAACAAAAAAAATTAACAAAATTATTTATTAATAATTTTAAGACAACAACAACAAAAATAACTAAAAGAAATATACAAACAATAGTTATTTATACTAATAACAACAACAACAACAACAACAACAACAATAAAACTATAACCAAAGACATTGAAATGAATAGAAATTTAAAATCAAAAAAGAAAAAAAAAAACGTTCAACAAACTAAAAAACAAAAAATTAAATAATATTATTATATAAAAAAAAAAACAATTCAAAAGGACATTAACAACAAAAATAAGAAAGAAAAAATAAATAAATAAGTATAAAACAAAATAAGGAAATAAAATACAGTCACGTCCTATTTTTGCAACAACGATTTATTACTGATAAAACAACTACAACAACAACCAAGTTGAAAACTTAAGTAAAAAGTAAAAAAAAAAAATCTGAAAGAAAATATCCTTCGACGACAAATCTTGAGCAAAACTTATTTTATTATTAATTTCTTCATTTTTTCTTAATAAGTGAAAATATTTCCTACATTTTTTTTCTAATAAACATAAATTATAAAACAAAAATTATTTAAATTACAAAAAACAAGAAGCATTTTTTTATGTAAAATTCAACAAACACATAAAACAAAACTAAAATGATTTAAGGCAAATTTATAAAGATGTACTTAAAAAAGGAAATAAAAAAAAAAATGATTTAATTTTTTTTTTTTTTTTTTTTTTTGGTTTTCATCAAGGGCCTTAAAAACACATCTGGGCCTCGATTTGCATCGATTTAATTGGAATTGGAAGCAAAAGAAAAAACAACGCAAACTGGGAGGGACTGATTCTTGATATTTGAGAAAATTTTGATTTTTTTTTGAAAACTGAAACATTATTTGTTTACTTTTTCCGCTGCTGTTGCCATCTCTCATATCATTCAAGGATTTTGGGCGTTTGTTCAACAAGCTTCCAAACTTAAAGTGAAGTACGCCGTTATTTATACGACTTTGATAATCCGATTGTCGAAATATTGCGCAAATGGGAAGCCATGTGAAAGAGAATGCAATCATTTTTTAAAGGTCTTGGGAAGATTTAGGAACATGTTTGCAATAACCATGTAAAAAGGGGATTACAAATGTATCCTTGTGTTCCGTTAGTAAAATATTTATTATTGTTCGAGAGTACGGGAGTATTCTTTATCGTGTAAAGTCGAACCGTATAAGTCGAATCTGGCAGTTTTTAGAAAGTAAAAAGTTATCTTTAACTAAACTGCAAAGCCCTAGGAATCATTTAAAAAATCGGGAATAAGATACGGACTTGATGAAGAAAAACCTGTAAAGGAATCCAAAAGCAATAATACAGGTATATAGCAAATATAACCTAAAGCCAGAAATAAAAATCAAAAATGATTGTCCTTCAGAATGAAAGAGTATGAAATCTTTCCCTTCTTATGAACTGAGGATATATATATTTATATATATTCCTACGGATTTTATATAAAAAATAGTGTAAAAGTGAAATTCTTGAAACCAATTAATACTTGTAAAGCGAGTGCTGGGTGCGTTGCCAGCAGCAATATATATATATATATCATATCCGCGATTTGTGGGTAGACAGAGGCAATGCCGCAAAAAATCCCATTTTCAAGCAAAGGTTTTACTAGAAATAGAGGTCAATACCGATTTTTGAGCTTGATAGCATGGGTAGAGCTACGTAAATAAGTCTTCCTGTCTTTTCAGGCCAA